CACTGCAGATGTTCTATAGAACCTCCTTGAATGCGCCCCACCGCGAGATAAGGGCGTGCACTCGAACGTCCACCATCTCCTCTTGGCGGGGCAAAGTACGCGTCGCAGATGAGAGTGTGCGCAACCGCTTCGTGACAATGCGGTGACGCGCGCTCATTGCGTCATCTCGCTGGTAATGCTGAAAACACAATAGTTCCTCTCTCCCCACCTCTGAGATACCTGTTTCCAGTGGTAAGTGGCAGATATAAATAGCTTGTTGTTTCAACGTTGAGGGACGTGCTTCTCTGTAGCTCAGAAGTGGACGCCTCGAACTCGTAAATATATATTGCCACCGACGTTGGCGCCGACACCCGTGGCAACATCCAGCTGAGAGTGTCCATATAGTTGTTATCACAAAATTATTAGATAGATAGATAGATAGATAGATAGATAGATAGATAGATAGATAGATAGATAGATAGATAGATAGATAGATAGATAGATAGATAGATAGATAGATAGATAGATAGATAGATAGATAGATATATAGATAGATAGATAGATAGATAGATAGATAGATAGATAGATAGATAGATAGATAGATAGATAGATAGATAGATAGATAGATAGATAGATAGATAGATAGATAGATAGATAGATAGATAGATAGATAGATAGATAGATAGACAGGCAGGCAGACAGACAGATAAATAGATAGATAGATAGATAGATAGATAGATAGATAGATAGATAGATAGATAGATAGATAGATAGATAGATAGATAGATAGAAGATAGATAGATAGATAGACAGGCAGACAGACAGATAAATAGATAGATAGATAGATAGATAGATAGATAGATAGATAGATAGATAGATAGATAGATAGATAGATAGATAGATAGATAGATAGATAGATAGATAGATAGATAGATAGATAGATAGATAGATAGATAGATAGATAGATAGATAGATAGATAGATAGATAGATAGATAGATAGATAGATAGATAGATAGATAGATAGATAGATAGATAGATAGATAGATAGATAGATAGATAGATAGATAGATAGATAGATATGTTGCCAAAACGAGACTTTCATACGAACGAAAAGCAAAATTTTTATTTTATAGTTCGCTTAATAACAATCACGCCCTTTGTGTCCTCATATCTTCAGCGAGTTTCAATACCTTCCGGCCCGCATGAAGTTTTCTTCCTTGCATTAAAAACATCTCTCTTGTTGGTAAATGTGTTGCTGAGGTCTCTGAATGAGTTTCCCTTGGATTTTAGAAGGCCGGAGCGTATCTTCCCGTAGACTCCCGAATAAACTTTTATTACTGTAGCCAGGTTCAAAAGTGATCTAGGAGTGCATCAATCGAGCAACACGATGTCCCCCCGATTCACTGTTGTTTGTCGTTTACTTGTGAAAGATTACTCTCTCAGTTTCTTCAGGTAGTTTTATTCCATCTCTTCCACCAATCTTTCCTGACATTCCGCCGCTTTCTCCGGACTCCTTCAATGTTGATTAATGTTGATTTCGTTATCACGTGAAAGTCTTACTTTAAACCTACTATGTGAGCCGGCACAATATGTTGCGGCTCATCCGCTGTATACCCAAGCCAAGGACCTGTTGTTAGGCACCGCTTCAATGTCGGTGTGAATCGTTACCATCTCTTCCCTGCTTAAGAAACTCTTTCCGATTATTTTCCTCATTGATCTTGAAATCTTGAAATTGTGTTTAGAAAAGGGGGTTAAAGATTTAGAGTAATTGGTGCTCTTCTATGGGAGAACTGAAAGCCGCCCCTTGGTCCTCACACATGATGAGGCCACATTGACAAAAAACAAAAAAAAACAAATGCCAGACTGGCACGGAACGCTTAAAACAGCTACAGTGAAAGCTAAAAAAACGGTTTTTAGGAGCTGTTTCAAACGCTCCTTGAAATGCTAGAAGTACACTGCTGGATACCCACTACGTCATAAATAATCGTAAATTTTGTGTAGTTGGCCGGTATTCACTATGGTATCGTTTGTTATTCTCTGGAGAAGCGTAGTATACGCTACACACTCATTAGCTATTTTGTGCAATTTTTTATGCAGTGGCTGACGACGACAAAGGAATATGCCTGAAGTTGATATGCGCTACAGCTTATAGGCGATCAAGAACAAGTTTACTGATTCGGATCATTGGATGACCCAATACCTACGCAATTCGCACTGTGTGACGCTTAGTTGTTCCTTTGATGTTTCAAAACACTTTGTTTCTTACATTAACGCGATCCCTTTCCCGACATCAAGCCTGTGTAAGGCCAGTTTAGGAACGAGTCCCAAGCACGGACATGGCTACGTGGTATAATAGACGGTTTGCACGCAGCGGACCCGTGTCCGATTCTTATTGTAGCATCGGTGTTTCTTAGTTGCCGAGTTTTCTTTTTCGACACTGGTTACGGAAATCTGCGGAGGCGGACAAATACGGCGGCGCTCGTGACCCATGTTCTGGTCTCATAACAGCTTTCGCTGTAAAATTACGATCAGGGCCGGGCCAGGGTTACATGTGAGCCGGATCGCAACCGCTTCGTGTGTGCTTTTGGTTCTTTGTTCTTCTTGCCGATCGTCCCTCGAGCCCGTGTGCTTAGAAAAAGGGGCTAACAATTTTCGGTGGGAGAGCATATAGCCGTCCCGTGGAACACATACTTGATGAGGACACGCATGGTGCTACCGGAGTATCGCCCTTGAAGCCGGAGATTGCGACTCACTGTTCGATCTTCAAATCTGTCTAACCTCGCCTCTTTCTCCAAGTGTTCGGTGGGGCTCATCAATATACATTCATAAAATCACAATAAATATGAATAACTGAAACGAAATACAGAGTTTTTCTGGCACTCTATTGGTCTTTCATCCTAGCATACATATTGTTCATAAAGAAACCCGCCAATTCTGAAAGTATGTATCCTGGATTGTTGAAAATATAAAAGGCTGAAAGGGGCAAAGTCAATCAATTTGGAATTAGCATATCCAAGTAGCTTAGAATATTGCGAAATCAATATTAGGCATATAATAATAATATTATTATTATTATTACCAGTAGTATTACAGAAGTAACAGCAGTAGCAGTTATAGTATTAGTAGCAGTAGTTGTACAAAATTTTATTATGCACACAAAGAGACAAGATAGAACCCCAGTGCCGCGTATCACCAACACCACCTAGACTTTTTTTCAGGCCTCCGCAAGCCTACGTGACGTCATCAGTGTGAGATCTGCCTGGAAGCTGGCTTCACTCAAATGACCGGCACCCGTTCGCGTTTTGTCGTTCCGCGGCCCAGTTGCACTTGTAGCATTTTTTTTTCTCTGAGGTCTACACCTAGAAGCAGGCCCGTAGCCAGGGGGGAGGAGTTAGGAGGCCCCCTTCGCCCCCCCCCCCCCCACGAAATCCGGATGGAGGGGGCTGTTTTACTGAGAATAAATAGTGAAAATAGGGGTTTGTCAAGGACTTTAACAGGTGCCCCACCACCCGAAAAATTAATTTTTGGCTACGGGCCTGCCTAGAAGGAATTTTTGTTAGCAACAGGTGTAACTGTTATAGACCCCGAAACGTTTTTGATATTTACACCTGTATTTACAATTGTAGCAGAACCTTGTGATGAGCTCATCGTGCAATGGACAAGTTCACACCTAGCAGCAGAGCAGCGGTAACGGGAAACGAAAATAGGTCTATTGGCTATAATATCACACGTGAGAAAGTGTGCCTCAGTGAGTTATGATTATACTGAAGTAAGGCGCGTTATCGGACTCGCTGGTTTATGTAACGTTTTCGAAGGCATTGGAGGGCCTATTTTGCATTTCAGTAAATGGACCAGAAGATTTGTGTCAAAACAAGACTGCACGTTTATTATATAAAATGCTCTTAAAAACAAACCATTGAACGAGGATTCATGCGAAGTTTTTCACATACGATATTTTCATAAAAAGTAAAATAAAGCAAACATGACATTACCTGTAAAATCTTTCCGACACTTAGGTGACTTATTTTCAGTAGATGTAATTGAACACACACGAAATGGGTTAGATATGATCTATTTAAATGTTCAAATGATTCTTCCACATAACAGCTCAAGTGCCAAAAGAAAGGCAATGTTCACAGCAAAAGGAAAAATGTGACAATACTTTAAAAAATTGTGGAGGTAAAGCTTTTAACATTTTTAAAATGATCGTGTAGAAGGTGTTGAAACTGGGAGCTCAAACGATTTGGCTTTATAAACAGAAAGGACAAATCATCAGTCATGTGCGAGAGATTACGCCTGGAGTGTCTTCAGTTTTCGTTTAGCTGCTTTGGCTTTAGACAGCTTGTTGTTTTCTCGTTTGCAAAGGTTGTTTAACAAAATGTTGGCTGCTGCACTAAATATGTACCCCATAACTACATGTGGCGTATGGCCATTGTCACAAACATCAAAGTCTTCATTCCACTCAAGGAAGAGTGTTGTCATTGAAACAAGCAGTTCTTTCTGCTTTTCACAGGAATGAAATTTGGCTGCGTGTTTTTCACTTGTCAGTTTCTCGAGAACAATATTCATCATCAGTACGGCGTTCACAACGATGGCTTGGGCAAACTTAAGTCCACCTCTTGTGATACTCGTTATGAGCTCGTCTGCCTCAATTGTAAGAGTCGTACTCTCAACAACTAGATTCTCTTTACAGAATGCACATTTAAGCTTCTTGAGTGCAGCATGTGCGCAATAACCAGCGACATAAGTTGTAGCTGGAAGTGTGTGCTGCTTTGCAGCAATGTCCTCTTCTCCAACTACAATCTGGAATTGTTTTAAAGCATCACGAAATTCATCAGTGGAGGCACATAGATAAATCTCGTCACTCTCTGGCAGCTCGAGGACCTTCTGCAGCCTCAATTTGTGCTCCGCTTCATACATCTGCCGTATGGAGATATGGTACTGTGCGCCACTTAACTGTTGGTATCTGCCAAACCTGTCTTCAAGGCAGTCCGACTAGAATTTCCCCAGTAGGACGTACCTGAATTCAAGCTTTTCAAGGCAGTAGCTTGTCACCTGAACAAGAGCAAGAGACGTGTGACGCAATGCATTGTGCGTCTCATGACTGAAATGACCAGCGTCATGCTTGAGGCTTTTCCAGTAGTCGTGCCAACTGACTATTTTGTTGAAAAACTTAACTTGGGGGTAACAAACTGCCTTTATGGGCTCTTGTAGGTCATCTCGAAGGTGCCTCCCTTTATCCGGCGTCTTAACATTCATTATGTGCCACCACATTATGACAGTGCTGATATAATTGGCCGTGCTTTTGGCATGCTGCAGTTCTGCTGCTTGTGCGCTCTTCAGAGCTGCGATTGTGAAACTGTTGAACACCTTGAGAACAAGTTTCATGTTTTGTCGCTCTAAGTTCGAAGGTTTCAGTGCCTTCAAAGACAATGTTGGAACAAGTCGTACAAGCTCGTTTCTTTCTCTCTCATGGAGCTCTAGCAGCGTGTTGAACGAAGCTGTTAGCACGCACGGCTTGTCAGGTAGTCCATTGATGTCTGGAAAAACATACATTTACCACTGTTACGCTGGTTAAGCCAATTGTTTCGCATGCGTTTTAAAACATGAACATAATCTAAAATAAAAAACAGTGGTCTTGATTGGTCTGATGGATGCTTGTAGACCGTATCAATCTTACGTGGCTCTGAAAAAAATGACATTGCCTTCCCATTGATGGAGTTGTTGTCTGAAAATACCGTGATTACTCGAAAGCCTGTTGCCTTCAGCCCATTAATGAGCTCACGAAGAAATTGATGCAGCTGTATTGCATCTATTTTCGCCACTGGAAGGATGTGCACTACGTCTTTGCTTGACGACAGGAGGCTTTGAATCATAAACACATATGCAGTTTTTGCTGCGTTTTGTTTGTTTGTAGCCATTCCTACTAGACCACCACCTTTGTAGTCAATGTAGGGCTGCAGATGAATTTCGTTCATGACAAGCGTCACAGTTTTTTCGGGGTCATCCATCCTACGGCCTGCCTCTTTGCATACGACAGAAATAAAGCATCTTGTTGCTCAGAGCACGGGTTCACACGGTATGACCCACAAGCACGTCTAATTGTGTCGGGATGTGGAAGTTTCAACTTTGATGTGGACCTAATAAATCTGTACGCATGTGGAGATATTGTGAACACAAGGCTAGCAAATACCAGCAACTCCACAGGGTATCTCGAAGTTCTGCTCAGTAAAATGCCGACTTGCTGTTTTTCGAACTTGACAACTTCCACTTGCCACTCATGTGGGAAACTTTGTGACGCTAGTTCATTCAGTGTTTTCACTGTATTCTTCATGACAATCTGCAAGCGTTCTTCGCTGTCGGAGAAGTATCCTGCCAAACTTTGCACAGCAATAAGGACCTTGTCGATTTCTCGCAGATCACACAAATAAACAAGAAGCACGAGGGTCCCAAACTTGTTAAGCTGCACGTCACCAACGAACACTTTCACAATCAAATCAGCTGACACTGTCACAGAAAAACGCACAGTTGGAGCTTCTTGAGAATCGAAGTTTAGGAAGAGGACTTTGTCGTGAGTAACAAGTTTTGTCCAGAAGGTGTTTGTCTGAGAACTTATCAGAGCGGTGAGCAAGTCTTCAAAAGTACTGATGGTATTCTTTTTATTCTCTTCTTTGTGAGCTTCAGCGGACTGCCTTATTGCCTTCTGTAGCGATTCTCCCTCTAGACGAAGCCGCTTCTCTTCAGGACCTTCCCGGACAACAGTAGTAGGACGAGAAAGATACGAAGGGCAGTTTGGAAATAGGCTCGGGATAGCACCAGGCTTGAATCGCCTCAGCTGGAGAGGAACTTCAAGTACTCGTCCGGTTGTCACATCTTGATAGGTCGACGTGGTCACAAAATCACTTGTATGAAAGTGCTTCTCACACACCTGAAAAAAAAAAGAAAAATGAAACAGAGCTTATAGCACAAAAATCAAGCAAGAAAAAGTTAGTGGACATTCGTCAACTACATATCAGAAAATGTGGCTGTATTATTAATCATTATCATAGTAGCAATGCCTTGTTAGGCGGCCCAACAGGCGAGCGCTGTTTATTAAATCTAACTCTCATAGGATTTGATCAGGCGCTGCAGTCCGTTTAGAGCGACTCAGGCCATCAACTAGCCGTGAGATTGCGAGGAAAATACCTGTTTGTCAAGACTGGTCGCGCGAAAACAAAAATTAGGCAAACAGCACGATTACTAATACTGCGCGTCTCATGTCCTTCGTAATATATGCTGGAAGTGCCCCGAAGGCATAGCTCACAAATAATGAAAATTGAAAGGTTTTTAGTTGCATAGCTGAGTGAGTTTACACATGCGTAGGCACCTGCGACAAGTGAAAGAACTCACTTACCACAGTGTACTTTGAGGGCGCAAAATCCTTGCGAGGGATCGCTCGCGTCCGTGCGGTTCTTTGGTCGGCGTCCATTGGAAACCGATAGACGCGCGCTTTAGGTCCATGAGCATAGTTAGAGTTGCACCCCGGTGCACAGCAGCATCCAGGCATATTGCGTAGTTTACCCAACCATGTTCACACAGCACAACAGAAAGAAAAAACAGCGTGAGCGGTAACAAAATGCAACTGGCCTACAACCACAACAGCCAGCAGAGCGAGCGAGCACGTAAGATCAATGTGGCCAGATGCACTGTCATGCGCTGCCAACTTCGCTCGGCTGTGCACAAAAATGTTTAAAACGTGAATAAATTAAGTAAATAAGTACATCATTTGAAAGATAGAATATTGCTAAGCTTTTTTTTGTTAGACAGTAGGTAATAATTTTCTACAGTTTGCCTACTGAAAACTTGTTTCGAAGCAAAAAAAGATTGTCTGTCTATTTGGCGAACAGAATCCGCAAGCCATTCCAACCTGAGCCAGTCGAGCGTTGCTTTCTCACAGATCTCGCAGCAGTGGCGTCACGCTGACGAGACGGAGGCTTGCCGAGGCCTTGAAAAAGTCTAGGTGGTGTTGGTATCACTCTAATAAAATTTACAGCCTAAAAGGTGTAAATTGGTTGTACGCATTAAACGCACCCATATGAACAACCCTTTTACACTCCATTATTAAAACTTGAAGAGTTCGTGAATAAAACACTCTCAAAACACCCCATTTACACCCTTACATTTGGGGTGTTATAAACAAGGACAAATGATTGATTGATATGTGGGGCTGAACGTCCCAAAACCACCATATGATTATGAGAGACGCTGCAGTGGAGGGCGCCGGAAATTTCGACCACCTGGGGTTCTTTAACGTGCACACAAATCTGAGCACACGTACCTACAAGGCTACAAATGCACGTAGTTTTCGGGCAGTTTTGGTTAACTTTTAGTATACATTATACAGCTTGAGTTATTTGACGTATGCATGTGGGAGGTAGTAGACCGGGTTAACTGGCGGAACATGGGGGAGGCCTTTGTCCTGCAGTGGACGTAGTCAGGCTGATGATGATAATGATGATGATGATGTATCAGCTTGATACCAGCAAGGCTCCTACTACTAGCTGCTTGCGAGTCTAGTAATGAATCGAAGCAGGAAGTAATGTGACCGAAACACAGTTTTCATCGATAAAGCACGAAAACTGCTATAGGACGGAAGATACAATAGGAGCGCCACTTGATCAATAGAGTAAGGGCCAATTCTCCTGTATTTGTTTCTTTCATCTGTGTCATTTGCGTAATTAGTCAACACTCACAAAAAGCACTGATTTGCCTGAACAAGGTATTGTTGCGCACATTGGTGTAGCCATGCATAGAACACTCCCCCCGCTCCCCCCGTCCCCCATAAGATCAAAGCTTTTAAAGCTGGAGGTAAAACGCCCACCACCTGCAAAAAAAAAAATAGCACAGTTGTTTAGCCATAACCACCACGTCAGCAGGCCATCAGGTTCCTTAAAAACGAACATTGACGCCATGTATTTTTAGCAGGCACGTTTTATTTAATTACTGTAGCGAATATTTCTCTTCATGTGTCCTTAAAAGTGGGTCATGGAAATTAGGAAGAGGATACCGATCATAAAGAAAAATGCAGAATAAGGACATTTTGGTGACCATGACGCAGCCTTGCTCACAATGATGGAAGCCTTGTTGACTAAATTTCGAACAGAGCAGGGGATCCGAAACGCATTCTCTAGTTCTCTCTCTCTCTCTCTCTCTCTCTCTCCATTTTTTGTGGATCCCCTTTTTTTAATTTATGTAGCTTTCCCAGCAGACGTGCTGCGGGCAAAGCCTTGACTTTGTAGGTAGAGGGAAAACAACATTGATGAAACATTTTCAGCCGTGGCCTTGTTCCAAGGACTACAAGCTAAGTATAAATGTATTGTCGCAACGTGAAGACAGAAGTAGTAATTAACAGGTTGAGAAAATAGGAGCAGGTCAGTATTTTTTATTTACTGCGCGCCAGAGCGTTCCTATTCTTTCTTGTTATTGCTTGCTGCATAAAAACGTGCAGATACGCGTATGCGCTGTCGCTTCGTCTTCCTAGCAGTACGCACGTGGCTATATGATCTCATCGGATAGTGTGACGGCCCATGCATACAATGTTGCAATGTCTTTACCGAAATGAAAGTGCTGATAAAATATCGCCTACGTGACCCTGAATGTGCAGTCCCTAAAGGCCCATAGAGCTAAGCAAAAAGAATCAGCTTAGCTTTTTTACCAGTATGCACTACATTAGATCGGTGAAGGTGCGCTAAATATTGCTCCTGAATATTACAAATGCGCATTCTGACTAGTAGCTCTTGCTGGCCGCACTGCACCGTCACAATGTTGACTGCGATTCAGATGCACTGTTAAAGAACGAGTATAACGCAACAAATCACTGCCACAAAAAAAGAAAAAAAAAGCAGCGCCCGCGCTATCAGTACAGGGCCGGAGCTAGCACTAAACCGCATCTAGCCGGTCTGAGAGCGCACGGACGCCATAAAGTCTCGTCGCCTAGGCAACCTTGGCTGCCCGGTATTGCTGCTCTCTCGGACGCAGAGCGCGGGAAAGGGACCGACATCGTCTTACACATCACTGCGTGCGCTGGCAAAAAACCCTCCCGTGTGTGTACGTGTGGTGCGCGTGGCTTCTCAATCGGTAGAGTTTATTAGTCGGTGTTTAGTTTGAAATGTGCCTGCGCTCTGGGCTCGACCTGTGTGTTCTGTCAGTGCTGATTATTGCGAAGATGCACCATCCTGAAGACTGGACCTGTGAATTCATATTGTGGAGCACTCGAAGTGAAATATTGAGTACCGCTCTCACATTATTCCGTTCAGCGCTTTGTTAACTGTGTGAGCACTAGAATAGCGCCTACAAACAGTTTTGTTTTCAACTAGTTGATGACAAATCAGCATTTGTTTACTTTGCGACAATATTTGTCCGAACTGTTTCACGGGAATGATGGCGAAGTGTGATTGTGGGCAATTTTTTTTTGTTTGTTTAGATTGTTTGGAGTACAAAGCAGAGGGTGCGTGCGCCGCTGTGGTTCAGTGAAGAAATTGAACAGATTTTTGTGGGGCCCTTTGTTGGCAGCCATTTTTAACGGGGCCCACTCGTGATGCACTTAAATTTTAGTTTACTAATTATTACATGTGTGGGGACGGTGCCTGTTAGCTCTTAGCATCAATCGTATGTAAGATGCATATGCTTGGGCGTGTCGGTAGTTCATTTACTCTCTTTTTTTTCCTAATGCACAAAAAGACCGAGAACGAAAAACAAGGGCGTGGTGTCCGTGTCGTTCTTTTCGGTTCTTTTTCGTTTTGTGTGGTAACACTACCGTGATAACTAGGGTTGATGCATCTGGTGACAACACAGCGTATTGCTTCGCGTTTGGTGTGCCTCGCGAAGTTTGCCTACTTGCTAATACATTCAATTTTGTTAAATTAGTCTTCACCGGTATTTTCATTCACCCGCAACGTAGCGTGGCACTGCCGACAGCCGTGCCTATGTAGCGGATTGAGCACTGAAGCTGTACTTTTGTTTGAACACGCCTTTCGTCTGTGTGTGTGGTCGAATTGCCTACTTGAACAGTGCTGACGCTTGTTTGAACATAACTGCTAACGTTCGTGCACATTTTATTCGTATTGTTTCCATCATGTGTAACTTTCAAAATATTCTTGTTATCCAGAGTTTTATTGCCATCGCCTCGCTTTGGTGGTACACTTCGCTAAGTACTTCAGATGTTAAAGGTATTTTTGTTATGTAAAGCGTATTATTAGTTTTTGTTGCACAAAAAACACTTTAATGTTATACATGCTGCACGGTATCTGAATATGTGTTTCAGCCAAAATGTAAGACTCGGCAGCATATTTATCTTGGAACACAACACGCACAGCCACTGAACAGCCTACGCTGCATCGGGAAGAAGTTATGCTTTCTCAGCCTGCCAGCATGATTGAAACAAATGGCCCTAATTTAGCAGTATGCAATGGACATTGAGTGAAAGTATCAGGGTCACTTTATTCCAAATTTACCAGCCAAGTTTGTGGCTATGACAAAGTGTTTAAAAAAATCGTGCTGATTTAATGCACTGAAAACAGTGAACTGCTTGAATATTTCGGAGAGAAAAAAGTTTTTGGTCACGTGGTTGCCTTCTAAATTTTCCAGAATGTTGTTTGAGTGTTGTTTGTGAAAAAAAAATATTTTACAAGTACCGCACCTTCTTTTATACCAGTTTTGGTACATGTTAAGTAAAAGGGCCTATGTAAGGTGTTTGAAACTGAGCAATATGAATATAAATTTTTCGGCCACATACGTTTGCAAGAATTTAGCCAAAGTGTGTTATGTTTGCATTTTCTCATTGCTATACTGCACTTTGTATGAATATCTGAGCTGTGACTACTTACTTCACAGAAAAGGTGTTTTGATGAAAAATTCTATTTAGACATCTTAAGCTGTTAACCTCTACGAAAAAAGATCCCTCATTTCACAGATTTGTCGTTTTTGTCCGTATTGAGACGCAATTTGCACCATGTGGTGGTCCAATTAGAAATCACCTTTTACCTGAATTGAAAGCAAATAGACAGTTCTTTGTATGTGACAAGTTTCATCATTACAATTTCTATTTCAAGGAATAAAATATATTTTTTTTGAATTTTCCCATCAACGGCAATGGGGAACTTCGAGGCGTCGGCTGCTGTATGACCAAATGGCGAATGGAGAACTTGGAGCTTGAAAAATCATTCAGGGGCAAAGCTCTTGAGGCCGTGGGTCGTTTCGTCGTCTGTAGTCGTACTAGTATTATGTAGCCACTTGATGAGTTGCACAATAGATAGCGTTAGTGGTTTTCACAACATATACACGGACAAAATGATGATTAGTGGGGCGAATCGTTCGTCCGTACATTTGTGATTTCGTCCGTTTGTCTGTGCATCCATCCGTCCGGGCTTCCGTGTGTCGGTCTGTCCGTGAGTCCGTCCGTCTTTCTGTCCATCCATAATGGCGTCAGACTGTCTGTCCATCTCTTTGTGCTTCCGGACGGACGAACGCTATGCCCCACTCATCATCATTCACTCCGTGGATACGCTG